ATAACCTTGGATTGCAACTTAGTTCAATGCCTAATGTTTAGCTGGATGTTTGTTGATAAGACATTCATACTAGAAGAAGATACCCTAATTTCCGAAACTTGTCATCTGTACATGTGTGTATGTCTGTATTTGTGTTTTTGCTATAAGACTATATATGCATTCCCCCAAAATCCCAGGTTCTACAAAAAATCAAGCACTATAGATAATACTGCTTATTAATAAGATAAAATTGGGGACAGATCACTCAAAAATCCAAAAGACCTGTGGAATTATGTAACTAGAGCACTAGCAAAAGCAATAACCTTCCTAATAATAGTATGATGGAGGTTCAATTTCTACACAGTATTTGTACCTAGGATCAGAGTAAGTCAATCCATTATAGCCTTAAGCCTGAAGCTCATGTTTCCTCATTCAAGATATAGTCTTGGAGGATATTTAATTCTCTATCAAGAGACTATTTTCATATAAGTTTAAAATCGGCTAATTTGATCCAAGAGATAGTTGTCTTCTTTAACCATTGTTTTAATATGGAAAAATATTTTTGCAGCTTCTCCATCTACAATCACAGCCTTGCCAGATAGCTGACCAAATGGAAAACCCAGTGCTTTGTGATGCTAATAAATCAGCCACTACTCCATGAATTCTAGTGCACTTCTGTAGATTTTCAGTGTTTTTCTTGTGATTTTCAGATGTTGCTAGAGCTGTTTTTCTTCATTTGAGAAAGTTTATTCCTATAACTTCAAAACATGAATGTGCTGGGAAAAATCCCAAATGATCTTGTAAGACTTTCTACCAGTATAATTTTATCTCTTGATCATGTATGAGGTAATTACATCAAAGTAGTAGAAAAAACTTTATGTGTATATATTTCTCTGAGGTTACAAAGGGTTTGTCTTCAGACTTTAACAGTCCCTGATGGAAAGTCTGTTTGGAGTGGGGGGAAGGGGGGGCTACTGAGCAGAGTAATTATTTTGACTTTCTTTCTTTCTTTCTTTCTTTCTTTCTTTCTTTCTTTCTTTCTTTCTTTCTTCTTTCTTTCTTTCTTTCCTATTTTTTTATTTTGAGTTCTGAACAATCAGTTGATTAGCAGCTGTTTGGAGCAAGGTGTGGTAGGTTTTTCCAACATATTCCTGTCTCCAGCCGTGTCTTTCCAGGCTGGGTATTCGAATTGCCTGTTAAAATCTCCTTCACTTTGATGGTTCTCTATAATATCGTATTATGTCCTTGAGCTGGAAAGTGCACATTGTTCTTGGTATCCCTTGTCAATCTCAACCAAAGTTTATCGTACCTTGTTGCTATCCTTTGTGGATTTTAATAGGAGTTTTTAGTTTCCCTTACTTTCAGTGTAGATGGAGTTTTGTTTCCTATTCAGGACTTTTCATTTTCATTTACATTTTCACCAGTGGATTTCCTAATTTCTCTCTTGTAAGGATCACATGAGTGGTTTATGTAAAGATCATTAACTCATCGTCATGCATTTTGTCAATACTGTCTATCAATTTGTTCTTTATTTTTGAACAAACCTGATACCCTGAACACCTTTCTCTGGGATTCCCAAGACCGTTCGGCCATTTGGCTTCTGTTTGTACTAGCTGCCAGCCCTAGTTCTTCCTGTCCTAATTGTAGTCAACAACAATTTAAGTTTCAGCCTTCCCACCACCTGCCTTTAGATAAGCTGAGGCTTACCTATAAGCCTGACTTTTTATCAGCAAAGACCATCTTTAATCATAGAGTCTCTGGCATTCTGGAAATCCCACAATTCATAAACATATCCATTTCTGCAGCTAGCTTTCATAGTCTCAAAGTGAAGGCTATAAGCAGTAGGGACTTCTGGCTGCAGTGATACAGGTGAACCCTGGAGTTCTATCTCCTCTTGGTCAGCAGCTTTGGATCTAGGATTTATTTTTTCCATAACATACCTTGCAAAAGCCACCATATATGCTACCGTACTTAAATGTCTAATTTCTATTTTACCTAGACCATAAGAGAGATCAGAGATTTGTTTTTCCTGCATGGCTTTACCTCTTGGAATCACTCTAAAGCTACAAGACTCAAAGCTCTTCAGTAACTATAATATCCAAATTACAAGCGTCAGAAATGGTAACCATTCATCACCTTGAAGCTTGGATTGTTTACTTTCCAAATCAGATTAGGCAAAAGTCTTATGTCTCCCTGCATTCTCTCGGCACAGGGGCACATATATGAGGCTCTGGTTAATATTTTTTGTGGGGCTTTAACCCTATTAAAAAATCGATTTAAAATGTTTTACAGGAGTTTGCCTCTACTTGCTAGATGGAATGCTGCACCATTCATGATACTTCTAATAAAGCCAATTAGAAAAATTAAAAAAAATGTTTTACAAAATTCATGGGTACATATGAAGTATAGTGATCTCCCCAAAAATATTTTAAACATCTTGAAAAATAAGACTTAAATAGTTTATTATACAGTCAATGCACATAAAAATTCTTCGTTCGGAGTGAGGTACCCCAAATTAGCATGTTAGTACCATTCTGGTTATCCAATGTGTGATTCTACGAAAGAAACATGCCCTATTCAGCAGAAGTAATCTGGTTGCCAGGCTGCCTCCTGGAACTGGGACCCACCAGAGGGACTCAGGAAGCCCCATAAATAAAAGCTGGGGAGCTCCTGGGAAATATGGTCCACTCTGTAATAGGCTAGAGGATCAAAGAACACTGCAAAAAGAAGAAACAAGGACCAAGAGCCACATGTGTTCTGATCCAGGTTCAAGGCACCTTATTCAGGATAGCATTCCCAGTGGTGGCCATCCTACACACTGAGTTGTCAATTTCAGGAAAGTTAACCCAAAGTGTGGAGTCTTATGTGACATGTGGCCCAGAGCAGTGATCCACCTGCCTGAGCGAGGGCAGAATTATCCCAGTAAAGACACACTAAGGGTCTGTTTCTCATCACCTACTCCTTGAACTGGTTTGGGAGTTAGTGTCTTTCAAACTTTGGAATCATATATATATGTAAGTAACCTGAAGTAGTAATAAGAGTTTATAAAAAGGCTGCTGCTGTGATTTTGCTTTAGATCTTCGCTATTCTAGTTTCTCCTTCCCTCCTGAGGTGTTGCTGCTAGCAATTCTCCCACACTCTTCCTTTATCCCAACCTTCTCAGCCCAAAGCAGGAAAGATCTAATTTGCTTAGTTACTCACCATCTGCTATGAGATGTTCTCATTCAGTCATCCGTGGCCAGTATAGCAAGATTGGTGTCCCTACAAGCCCACTGCCATCTTTCTCAAAGGAAATTATGTACCCAGCAGACACTGTGAGACTTCATGATCTGTCCAGTGCAAGCCTTTAGATACATTTTACCAGACTGTCTTTGAAAAGGGTATTCCCAATTTACCTTGCCACCAGAAATGTGTGAGACAACCACTCTTAGAATATTTGTCAACAGTGAGGAGATCCATTCTTTTTAAAAATGATCGGCTAAGATGATAAACAAAAAGACTAGAATATTGTTTAAATATACAAATGCAATTTCTTAGTAGTAATACTGCCCAGTTCACCATATACTGGTTAATCAACTAAACTTTCCTGATGAATAATCGCTTTTGGTCCTTTACTCCTTTATCAATTTAGAATTGAATGCTTTCCATATCCATTTGTATGAGCTAACTATAACTTGAAGATATTGGTTACTTGTTTGTTATATTTATGGTGGATCTCTTCTTCTACCTCTTCTCCTTCTCCTTTCTCTTCCTTTCCTTCTTGCTTCTAAACTTTGAATAAGTTTGTCTTTTGATGAACAGAATTTCAGAATTTTTCTTTTTCTTTTTTTTAAACAGAATTTTTAAAAATATTTATTTATTTATTTATTTATTCATGAGATGCAGAGAGAGAGAGAGAGAGAGAGGCACAGGCAGAGGGAGAAGCAGGCTCCATGCAGGGAGCCCAATGTGGGACTTGATCCTGGGTCTCCAGGATCACGCCCTGGGCTGAAGGAAGGCACTAAATCACTGAGCCACCCAGGGATCCCCAATTTCAGAATTTTTCAAATAATTAAAGCTATTAATATTTTCTCTATAAATTATTCCATCCCTTTGGCTCTTAAAAAGTAATCCTTTTCTGTTTCATAGATTGGCTAAACATTTTGAATTCCTCGTTTTAAAATTGTCTTTATTTAAAATGTTTATTTAAACTAATAGGTACAGAGAGCACATTGGTGGTTGCCAGAGGTGGGGGTATGGTGAAATGGGTGGTGGTCAAAAGATACAAACTTCCAGTTATAAAATAAATATGTGGGATGCCTGGGTGGCTCAGTGGTTTAGCACCTGCCCCTGGCTCAGGGCATGATCTGCTGTCTCAGGATCAAGTCCCACATCAGGCTCCCTGTCTGGAGCCTGCTTCTCCCTCTGCCTACATCTCTGCCTTTCTCTCTCTGTGTCTTTCATGAATAAATAAATAAAATATTTTATAAATAAATAAATAAATAAATAAATAAATAAATAAATATGTTCTGAGGATGTAATGTACAGTATGGTGACTAGAGCTGATAATACTGAATTGTATATTTGAAAATTACAAGAGAGTAGATCTTAAAAGTCTTCATCACAAGAAAAAAGAATTTGTAACTATGTGTGGTAATGGATGTTAACTATACTTGTGGTGATCATTTTGCAAAATATACTTATATTGAATCATTATACTGTTATACCTAAAACGAATATAATGTTACATGTCAACCGTATCTCAGGAAAAAGCTTATTCTCTAAAAAAAGTTAAATAAATAATTCTGGAATTACATGTTCAGTGAAGTAAGAATCTAAATTAATGTTTTGAACAAAAAGGTACTCATTTTCTATATGCATTATTAACTGAAATATCTTGTTCCATTTATTTATAATGTCATTGTTTTTAGTTACATATTTTTATATAAAATAATGTTTGTGTCTCAAGAGCAGATAAAGAATGGTCTAGATTGGGTTAAAATGTTAATGTAAATATGGTTACTTAATACACTGAATCAAAATTGACATGAGTTTAATTTTATTTCATAATCAACTGAACATTTCAAATTAAACAGATCGACTTAAAAAGTCCTTCGTTTTTGCTTTAATTTCACATTTCATACATTGCACAGTATTTATAAGATATTCATTTTGATTGTTCCAAAACTTGGAGAGAGAGGTGATAACAATTCCGCCAGATGGTTAAATTCACCAGAGAACTTCTGCTTCTATTTTCTTAATTTGAGAGATACCAAGCAATTTTTATTCCCAATATAAATTCTAGATTAAAAACTATACACTTTCCTTACTGCTCATATTAAATATTAAGGATGACATACAAGCAAAATATTACCTTGTTACTAAGTTAATGCTCTTCTGTAATCTTACATGGTTATATGACAATTGCTAAATTTGTTGAAAACCAACTGATAACAAATTGGTTATCCTGTGAGATTTTTTTTCTTTCTTTCTTCTTCTCTTTCCTTCTTCCTCACTTCCTTCCTCCCTCCCTACCTCTTCTTTCTTTCTGGTATATTACATTAGAGAGCATTGATCTATAGACATCATTAAGAATAATTGTCCTTGAAGAACAGTGGAAGATAAATGCTAATAAAAATATTAAAGAAAATGCTATACAGAATCTCTTACTATATGTAGATATTATTACATTCTTGAACCATCTTCAGATACTATTTGCTGTGAGCGCTGCATTGCAGAAGCTAAAATGAGAGTACATTTTTTTCTTCACTAAAATTACAATGTTCAGAGAAACAAATAAACAGCAACATAAGCTAAATAGTCACTATATCAGATATGAACCACAGGCCTTTTGAATAATACTCCAGTGAACTCGTGTCCTTAAATGAAAAAGGGCATCCATGGGCATTTGGCCACTGAAGCCCTCTGGTACCCATATTTGGGAATGTACCTTTCTTTACAGGGGTGGCTCTTTGTGGAAGCAGACTCCTTAAGTGATAGTCTGCACCAGGACCATATGACATGGTTTCATCATTATACAAAGACTCTTCATAGAATCTGAGATTGAAATTCGTAGGAAAGCAAACAAAGGATGATGCCTGATGAGCTGATCCAGGAAGGAGAATTATTCATGGTTATAACATTTATTTCATGACAAACTCTCTCACTACTGACCCCTAGTTGTTTGTGAGTTCCAAGAGAAGGTCCCTAGATAAAGTGCTTTCCTGGTTGCTAGATTTAGATCTAAGAAATAAAATGTATCCCTTAGGAAAATGTAAGCTCAGTGTTAAAGTGTATTGTTAGGTCAATGAATTGGATTTGCTATTGCTGTTTTTCTAACAACATAACTACAACAGTGAAGAAGAGTTCAGTCGTTTCAGGAAACTTACGGATTTTGCCTCAGTGGTGTAGATAACTATTCTCAGAAAAGACACAAAGTCTGGGGGAAAAATAAGTGGCAAAACTGAAGTGTTCTGTAACACCCACAGAAGTTCCCTTCCTTTCCTTGGTTCTGACTCCTCTCATAAATGAATGCCTTCAAGGAACTTTGAAATCTCTGTTCTGTCATTTTTGTGCTTATATAATCCATTAAAAATTCAGGATTATAAAACAATTCACATCATTCTGAAGAAAGTAAAATTAAGTTTCCTTAAGATAGTTTTTGTTTTGTTTTTAAAAAGTGACATAGTGATTTTTTTTCCCTTTCTAGTTACATTGGACAGTGAATGAGTATTGTAAACCACGAATATCTAAAGTTTTAATTTTAGTCTAATGATATATATTGTATCACAGCTGAGTTTTAGATAAGAATCACTGTCTTTAATAACCTTCACGTTGAATGCAAAATACATAAATAGATAACTAATTGGAAAATATTACTATTTTGTGAGACACATGGAAGGAAAAAATGTATTCAGAGAAATGTGTTTTACACTGTCATGTCCAACTACTTGAGCATAACTCAGCTTGGAAACTCATTAGCTGTTTGGGCCATGCCCTCAAAATTCCAGTTAGCCTATTTGTAATTTTATTTCAGTAAAAGGAAGAAACAAAACCAAAAGCACCCTACTCAGGAATCTGGGAATGCCTTTATAATTGATTCATAGGCAGGTGGGGGCGGTGTGGAAAAGCCCACTCGCAGGCTGTTGCTGGACCAGTGGAAATCTGGACGGCCCAGGTTGTGGGAGGTGATGGCGGGAAGTGTACTGGAAGAGGGCAGAGTCACCAGCTGACTGTCAGTTTCCACGGGAAGTGGTGGACTTTGCAGGAAGGGATGGAAAGTGGAAGCCCTGAAGCTTGATTTTCTTGGAAAGGAATTTGCTTGTTCCAGGGAAGCTTGTCGCTGGAAGGTGAGGCTGGCCAGGCTGAGGTTGCTCCGCCGTTCACAGCCACTGTGGCGGTAAAATCCAGTTCTGCTGAGGCCATGGTTATAAGAAGACCTCGATCGCCGGCTCGAGCTCCACTGTGAGATGGGGGCACTGGCTCTTCTTCGAGACAAGCAAACAAACAGAGCCCAGATAAATCCTCCAATTACAAGCACGATTGCAATGGACACTGTGAAGGACGTTATAACATCCTCTGAAACAAGCAAACAAAAATCAAATAGGTAACCTAATTTGTAAATAGGTGTTCAGTTAAAAAACACAGGGCAGAGTCCAAATAGTAACTATGGAATACATGATCAATTGAGACAGATTTTGTGTCAGGGAAATAAAAGTGCTAGTTGCATGTGAATATCAGCTGTTAGGCTTCCATTTATTAAAGCCAAAGAATATGAAACGGCATTTTTAGCTGTAGCATTTCCTGTTGCTTATACTATTTTCTCACTTTAAAGAAAAAGAATAAAAATAATCCTTCTTTTTAAAGGCCATTCTTTAGTTCATACATTTTTACGAGTTTGCAAGTATAGTCCAAAGATTATTTCCTTTTGAGCTACAGCAGTAATAATGTGTCAGAAATTGATAAAGGATTTTGCAGTCAAATTGACTGTGCTTTTTCCTCTGTCTGCTTTCATCAACCCCAGTGATGTCTCCCACCTGCAGGCTTCATGATGTCTCACTTCCTGTGCTCATTTTGAGATAGGAAATGCTGAGCTAGAACCATTTGGTGGGCTGACTGATTTATCTACTATTTCCTGAGCTCCTGGACCACCGGTTCCAGTTCATGCTGCTATCATGCCCCTCATTGTGATAATGAAATTTTTATCCTCTGAATCCATGGAATCTCTGCTATGCATCAGTATCAATTCACAGAACTTGTATTTGTTCGGATTTCCTGTTCTGGGGGCAGGGGAGTTGTTTTCCCAAAATGGAAATTCTACCTTATTGCTTCTTGTGAACTGAAAACATATTTTTGAATAAAGCTGCATAGCAGAGCCCCTGCCCTGGATGTAAAGACACGCTGGATATTAGAAGACTCTCCAGCCTTATCACCCACCACATTTGCCCGCCTTCCACTCCGTAATCTAACCCAACCCATGAGTCATGTTGACCTTGGCACTATCCTAAAGCTTGTCTTCTTCGCTGAAGCTCTATGATTTTTTTAAAACCTATTTTTCTTTATATCTGGACAAATTTTTAAATCTCTGTCAGAAAAACCTATTCTTCAAGATTCATTTCAAGTACCACTTTTTGGATAGACTCCTAAGTTTCATAAACAAAGATTAGTTAAGGCTAAGTAAAAATGTAGGCTATCTTATCTAATTGCTCACCTAGGGATTCTGTACTGAGAGGGCCATGGACTGGAAATTAGCTAAGCGGGGTTTGGAGATTTTGAAAACAAGAGAAGGGCTTTGAGGTTCCTCCCATTGAGACATACAGTCTATTTCCCAACCCTCAAAACTGGGGTGGCTTCACACCTGGCTTTGACCAAAAAGATGGGATGGAAATGAAGCTGTGCCAAATGAAGCCTAAACTTTAAGAGATCTCTGAGCTTCTACCTCTGCTGCTCCCAAAAGCCCTGTAACCACTAGCCTCTGAACAAATGCATCCTACTGGATGAGGAGTTTGGACCAGTTACCCCTATTGCTCTGACCAAGAGCCTGCTACCTTCAAACACATGAATGGCGTCATCCTAGATAATTCAGATGTTCATCAACCTAACTGATTGTGACACAAGAGGGAAGGCAGCAAAAAAAAAAAAAAAAAAATCTATTAAGCTGATCCCCGCCCAGACTCCTGATCCACAGAATTATAAGCTAAATAAATGGTATTTTTAAGCTGCTATGTTTTGCGGTGGATTGTTAAACAGAAAAAGCTGACCAGTGCAGCATTCTCAACTCAGCTTTATCCCTAACATTTTGTGTGATCTTTAGAAATCTGTTTGGACTCATTATTTTTTAAATGAAAGAGTTAGATTTTATGATTACTAAGGTTTTTTTTTTTCAGTTTATTGTTGCAGTCTATGATAATACATAGAAAATCTATAATGCAGAAATAGCAAAATAAACCAATGCTAACAGATACATAAGAATAATTATTGTTCTTTAATTTTAGGATATATTTAGTGTTCTTCCACCTTATGTTGTTACATTTATCTCCTTTGTCAAGACTGTATGTTTTGTTCTACTTTCACAAATACCTTCACAAATACTTCTATTAAAATCCTCTAAAACAGCGGTTTATATTAAATCTAAACAGTAAATTCTTTATAATAGGAAGATGACTTCTAAATTACAAGGCAATTTAGAACAGCTCTGCTAGACCAAGTTTTGTTCTTCCAAAATGTGTCTCATAAAAATAATATTGACTCATAGCCTTAAAATGTAACCTCTTGAGACAGAGATTTCAGAGAGTTAGGCTTTATCTGAAAAAATCAAATAAATAATAAATATAGTCAGAAACTAAAATCAGACCTATTGATTATATAGTAACATTCAAAATTAACTATTAGTGCCCCAAATGTTTAGAAACTAAAAAGGAAGTTACACTAATTCTGGGTTGCCACAGCACTGGCAAGCCATGTAAATCAGGATTTCTCAACATTTCTTCCAAAAACCAATAGAGAACAAGATGCACAAATAAAACTATGCAAAACCCATGCCTCAGAAGACAGAGAACATGTACATTTCAAGGTACCTAGAAAGTAAAACAGATACCAATACATTCCCAAACTTCTACCTCAAGTCTTGGAGATGAAGGACAATTCCAGAAAAAGTGTGAAAATAATGAAAAGGTATCCTGTTCTCTGAGGGCACCGACTATTGTAAAGGGTCTTAACGCATGCAGGCAGGAATGTGAGGAGGCAGGCTTGGGAAGTAATTTTTCCCTGAGGAAGAAGAGGGTAAATTGTGTAGTCAGAAGATCTTATCTTATAGGATTCCATTTACAGGAAATGTCCAGGATGGGGAAAACTATGGAGTTAGCAAGCAGATTAGTTATTGCCTAGGGCTGATGGGCAGGATGGAAAGGAATGGGAGGGGTTGCTAATGGTCACAGGTTTCTTTTAGAAGGGCAAAGTATTCTCAAATTAGATGATGTGATGGTCACATAACTCCGTGTCTATAACAAAACCATTTAATTGTACCCTTCAAGTGGAGGAATTATGAGATGCAAATTATATCTCAAGCTGTTAAAAACAGAAAAGAAAAAAAAAACAGAAAAGAAAGAAAGAGGAGAGGTGCTTTTTGGACACCAGACAATGAGGAAGAGAAGAGGGAAGAGGGGAGGGAAAATTTAAGATCTTTCAAGACAAAAAAAAATTAAAAACAAAAGGATATAATTCCTCTCCACCTCCATCCTCCAAAAATAAAAATCCACCAATCAAAATGCACACCTTGCTACATGGAGGAAAGAAGGAAACTAGAATGAGTCCTGGGATTCTGGCATGAGCAGGCAAGGGTGGATACTCCTATTATTCATCCAAACCAGGGAGAAAGGCAAGACTGGAACTAAGGGAAGTTGATATTAGGAAGATGCAGAACTGAGTGCCCCTGAGGTACTCATTTGGAATCGAGATTACATAAATATAGAACTTAAAAAGAAGCAGCATTTGGAATCTCCATGCTACAAGAGACTTGCAGCCATCCATGGAAAGAAAGTGCTTTGACTAAAACTAAGACTGTTTGTACAAGGGAGTTGAAAATAGGCTTCCAGGAAACTCAGTTTAACAGATGGCAGAAAAAAAAAAAAAAAACAAGGAAACAAAGAAGGATTAATTTGCCCCAGAGACACTTAATCTATTCATTTGTTTAATGTATAAAGCACCCACTAGAAACCTAGTAATGCTAAGTTTATAGGCAACAATGAAGAAAAAGGCCTTAGCCCTGGTGGAGTTTACATTCTATAAGACTTCAATTAAGGTAAGAAAAATGTCCTTTAAGCCTGGCAATGAAGAGGCCATTGGCTACTTTGCCCTGAGTAGATTGAGGTCAGATGATGGAAAGTTACAAGTGCCCCTTGAGAAAGGTTCAGTCTCTATCATGAACAAGAGAGAGCAAAAAAGAGGCTTGAACAAAGTGACCTAATAGGAAGGACAGCATATAGAGCTAGTAGTGATGAATGAAATAGACCAAGGCCCAGAGCAGGGAAGATAACGAAACGAGTCTGGACATGCCTGCCATGATTCAGATATGCAACAATAGTAATGACTTAGTCTGGGAAACAATAGTAAAAATAGGAAAGAAAAAACTTGATCATGAGAGACACAAAGTCAAAAAAAATCTAAAAATTATTCCAAAGTATGATACCTTATAATATAGTAGAAATAAGACATGGGGGGAGTGGAGCTTTTGTTCCTAAGATCTCAATTATAATGTTATATTCTAGCAATAATTTATTTTTTTTAAGATTTATTTATTTACTCATGAGCAACACAGAGAGAAGCAGAGACACAGACAGAAGAAGAAGCAGGCTGTTTGCAGGGAGCCGAATGTGGGACTGGATCCCGGATCCCGAGATCACACCCTGAGCCAAAGGCAGATGCTCAACCACTGAGCCACCCAGGTATCCCACTGGCAGTAACTTAATAATCAGATTAAGTCATAATGTTTTAGGAAAGATTAAGTGTCATGCTCACTTTACTCTTTTATGTAAGTTTATGAGACAATAGATTTGCTCAAATTTTTATTTGTATCATAATCATTAACATTAAATTTTCTTTAAGTTTTGGTCACTTGTAATGGCTGTATAAATTCTCTACTTCCCTAAAAAATGTTTTAATTGCTCTAGAAAATAAATAAAAACTATAAACAATTCAAAAACTTCATACAACTAAGTCTTTTGTCTTTTCAAATAAGTCCAGGCAGTTTACTGAATTTGGTACTTTGATTTAAAAAAAAATGCTAATTTTTCCTTATTTCAGAGTGTTTTTGGCAATCTTTGTTTTGGTGAGATGTTTTGCATATAAATTGAATAATTTATTATGATATGTTATTAGAGAGATCAGTCATCCCTAGACAAGTTTATTTATAATTTATACTCCAGAGAATCCATGAGTTAATTATGAGAAACACTTTAATCAAAGAATCTGAACAAAATCACTCAGAAATGCTGTCTTCTTGTTTAGAATAATGAATGAAATATGTACTCCTGTTCATCTAGATGTTGTACTTTTGAATAGGAAAACAGTGCATCAGGTAG